CAATGGAAAATGACCCAGACTGTGACATGTGTTCTACGCAGCTGAAAATGCAAGATGTAAAGCGAAAACTTCATTTTCGTAAACAAGGAATTTGGAGTTGATTTCTCCTGGTCGAAAGTTGAGTTAAAATGCCAGGGAGTAGGTGGATAAGCCACCTACGCTTACTGAGAAGATTTAGTGAGAGGTAATAATATGAGAGAGCGGAAGAAATTCCCCAGAATTATGAAGTAATTGACAACAAAGGAGATTACCGAAATCCCATTATGCGCTGTGGCTCGCGCCAGTTTGAGCGAATGTCCATAAATGCGCGAAGTGAATTCGTCAAACGGAGACAGGAGAGAGACGGCAAAGAGTGCGTCCCAGCCACCCGTCGTGATACACCCTACGTGATTGCCCGCCTAAGAGAACCACTTGACTTCAGCCTTGTACTGAATTTTACCAAAAACGCAAACCAAACTTTACCAAGTCAACAGCAATATCATTTCGGATTTAGACGCGGGTTGGGCTGACAATTAATTGCATGTGAACTCTGATATAACCAATTATTGTAAGAAGGTTTGATATAACAGTATTTACTTTTGTTCTGTTGTGGTAGGATCCACCTAATTTGCATAGTGGAGTACCGACCATATAAATATGGTTGGTACCCGGAAGAGAGTGAGGAATCAAGAGATTCAACCAGAGACTCTGCCCGAATGCGACTCAGTTAACACATTCTCCAGGAACGGTCTTACCAGGAATATACAAAAGACTATATGTAAATATTGTGTACACTTTCTTGTTTCAATACATTTTGTTCTAAGTACATTTTGTGTTGCATTATTATTCCATGCATTAGTCAAGTTTCAACATGTTCAAATTATTCGAGTGATGTTTTTTCCCTATACGTCTTCGGCCTGCTTGGACTAGCACAAAACAAAGATACCTGCGACGATTCGATCTTGGCTGCCTTATGATCAAACTTAAACCACAACGTGGGATGGGGCAGGTCTGAGGTCGAAGCGATCTTCATCAATCAGCAGCTGTGTTAGAAGTCTTGGACTTGGACTACCGGGGATGAATTTTGCTTTATATCTCGTATATGATATATTTCACACTTCGATTGAGTATAAGGATCTTTGTTACGTTCACATAAGTGTATAAATTTTATTGTAAAATTTCTTTCAGGAACCCTATTTCACGTTATTATTTGTTACGTGAATTTTGTGTTAGCCTTGTTCCGTATGGGACCTTTTTTTGGAGTTGACATCTTTTGATTCTGTTTAATTCAATCGGAACATTAACAACATCTTGCATTCAATTTAATTTATGTGACTAAATTGTATTTTATTATAAATGAATATATTTTTACAATATTAATGTAAACTCCGCGTTATTCTTGTCCTTATTTATTGGCCTGTCAGATCTACATTTTATTTTTATTTTAAAGGTTTGTGAGCCTCCTTTGATTAATTTAATCAAGGCACATAGGCCACATACCCCCCCCCCCTTCGGAGGTCCGCAACAATATATATATAATTGTGTATTTGGGCAGCAAGCTTTTTATACAAATATTTTCTTTTATGGATATAGAGTTTTTATACACTCTATGTCCAGAAAAGAAATCACTTGTACTAAAGCAAGAAAAATTCAATAAAAGATTAATCGCAATGACTTGTCAGTTGTCTTCATTGAAAATGAAGGAAACTATTAGTTACCACGCATTGATGACTTCTATGATTTTTTTCTTTCTTTCTCTCAGGTGATAGTTGGAAGATAGTTGGAAAAAGGATATATATATATATATATATATATATATATATATATATATATATATATATATATATATATATGCATTTAACCACTTACAAGGTTACGTCCAGGAAGTGGCTCACTTTAACGTTGGTGGTGGTGGTAATACTCAGACCGTGGTCTTTAAAGAATTTGATTAGGATTTTTCTTAGTCGGTTTTATTTTCGCTTTTTATTTTCCTGAAAAATTTAGAGAGGACAGTGCTATTACTATATTTAATATTTCCTAATGTCATTTAGTGAGGGTAGAAGCGTGATTTTCAATGGTTTTCAGTAGAACCCACATAAAAATGGCCTCGTCATAATATCTGATGCTGACTTTATAGACTAATGCCTTGCTCTAGCATTTGCCGTTTAATGAGCAGGGTTTTTTGCAGTTGCATTCTTTAGTTGTGGGGATTTTTTATGTTGCATGTTGGTAAAATGTTTGTTTAGAATAACATTGTTGTGCTGTGATATATTGGTCCATGTTTTTAGCAGAACTTTGACGTTGTTTTTATTTAAAATCTTTTTTTTTTTTGGCATTGAAGAATGATTGAAGTGCTTATGGTTTAAATTCAGAAAAATTCTACCGATAATAGTTTTTTCATTGTTGCTGAATGTTAGGTTAAACTATATGATGATGCGTTTGTGACGTTTAGGTTTGTTGACATCATTATTGTTATTGTCCAGGAACTCGAGGTTAATATGATAGTTACAGTATTCTAGGGTTTCTACATATTTGCCTTTATGCTTGTCAAAAATATCCCTACTACTAGAGTTGTTAGACAGCCTAAGTTGAACCGATTTATGCAAATTCTTAGTATTAGTATTAGCAAATTCTTAGTATTCTAGGATGGTTGTTATATTGTTTGCTGGTATATCTACGGTTGTATAAATCTTTAGTATAGGGTTCATAATGTCCATTAGATAGGTCCAAAGTTACATCCAGGAAGTTGATCACTTTAACGTTGGTGGTGGTGGTGACACTCAGACCGTGGTCTTCAAAAAATTTCATTAGGATTTTTCTCAGTCAGTATATTTTCTGTGCACTTGTTTTACGCAGAAGTATTATCCAGTTGTCTTTGTAGAGACCGGAGTTATTAATATCGAAATATAAAAAATTAGAAAATTAAAATTACAATAATTATTATTTTCAATCTTAAATGTAAGTTTGAGCCTAAATTTAAATTCATGATTAGATTATACCGAAATTAAATATTTATCTACTGTTATAACCCCCTCCCCTAAAAAAACAACATATCTTGCGAGACCCCAAAATTTTAAACAAATGGTGTTATTCAAACGGTGTAAATTCAATTCACTACCTGAAGATTGCATTGAGCATGAAACTATGAGTTGTATTGTCGGCGTAGGGTATTATGTGTATTTATTAATATATGCTTGATGGCTCTGCTATTTAGTTTTGAGCACTGATTTTCTTTTACCAAAGGATATATATGTATGTATGCATTTGAACGCTTACAAGTACATTTATTTATATTTATCAATTTGAGTATATATATATATATATATATATATATATACATATATATATATATATATACATGTGTGTGTGTGTGTGTGTGTGTATGTGTGTTTGTCTTATCAAATCTATATTTAGAGTGTTTTCAATATTTTATTGATCGTTATATAAAAATGGAATTGTAATGTGATACAATGTATATTTGGAGCGTTTTCAGTGATAGGGAAACACATAACTATGTAGATGTAATTTAATATATATATATATATATATATATATATATATGTGTGTGTGTGTGTGTGTGTTTGTGTGTGTGTGTTTATGTGTATGTATGTATACAATATGCAGTGTTATAACAGATTAATTTATTGAAATATATGGAAATGTACGTGTTACGCGATAAGATATTTTTCAAGTGATTTCAGAAACATAAAGCTATGGAGATGTAATACGATAAAATACATATGTTAACTGTTTTCACTGATTTATTTATGAAAATATATATTGTTTTTGTTTTTTAATCATTTCACTCCAAGCAAGACGATGATGCCACTAGGACGCTAGTGCTAACAAGAGGTTTAGTAAAGAAAAGTGAGGAAAAGGGCAAGAAGAGAACAGGATTCAGGAACACACTAATGTTGATGTATTGTGATATAACCTATTTTTAAATCATTTGCAGTGATTTAATTATTGAAATATATTGCTATGTATACATAATACGATACTATCTATATTTCATGTTTTCAGTGTTTTGATTTATTTATGTAAATACGAAAAATCGAATAGTTTATGAAGAAGATTCTGAAACATAACTTTCTAATTTAATTATTTTATTCGCACCAGACATCGAAGAGAGATAACCCCAAAGATTGGTAAATCGAAAAGAAGCTGATTGCTTTTTTTTCCAGAGCCTCTAATTCCAAGAAAAATAAATTTGCCAAAAATGTCATTGTTGTAAATTTAGATAAATTATTCTTGATTTATATAAAATTATTTACACATTACAGACTATTAGTTTTAAGGAATTTAATGAAATCTATATATATATATATATATATATATATATATATATATATATATAGATAGATAGATAGATAGATAGATAAAGATATATATTGGAGAAATAGAGTTAGAGAGATAGTGTGGGCAGACAGAATGGGATAGAGATCAACAATGCGTCATGACTTACTTTTTCACGCCGCAATTCTATTTTCAGATCAATGCAATCTTCAGTTCTGCTGAATACAATAAGATCGGGTCCCGTTGCCAACTACTATCTCATCTAGTTTTCTTTTATTCTTTTTCCTTTTTTTTTATTTTGTTTTGTTTTAATCATCCATTCCTTTTCATTCTCTCACATGTTCTTTTATTTCACTATTTTCCATTTAGGCGATTCTAGTTATGTTTTGTTTTCACTTTTCTCCAGGGGTTATATATATATATATATATATATATATATAATATGGTCGTTTATATATTTTTTTCGTTTGTTGAACCGTTTGAGGTTTACTTTAAATCACAAGGAAGTTTTATGACACTGACGCTTTTGAATTGCATATATATATATATATATATATATATATATATATATATATATATATATATGTGTGTGTGTGTGTGCCCAATGGGACCCTTTTGAACGGGCACCATTATCCTTGGGAAGTTACATTTTTGTTAATAATAAATGGATACATCATTTCAGAGCACACTACATAAACTCAAATAAAGATAGACTTATTACTTACCATATGTATGATCAGTGCCGGATACCAAAGCCCATTTGTATCTGTAATAGGAATAGGTCACGGTGTAGTTGCACATTCCGTATTCGAAGTTACAGTCGACTTGATCTGAAATCATGAAGGCAATGTTGAAATAAAATCGAAAATAAGAGTAAAAGTCATTTTTTGAAAACAGTTGAAGGAAAGTCGGTAGCGCTGTATAATTTTCTAATGGCAAAAGGTCAATATATGACCCGTTACATTGATCATATATTAGGAATTTATATTGCACATGTGATCAGCGAGATCGCCAATTCATTTCGGAAAATTTGGCAGACCGATAAAAAGCTTAATTGCTCAGACTGGGAAAAATGGATTGTATAAAAATAACTCAAAAATAAAAGCAACTTGGATTTCATTTTAAAATGATGTTGGAAGCATTACTTCTGATGTTGTGATATCAGTGATTGCTTATAGGACTGTAATTTTTTAGCAGCTTTTATGAATCCAGTCTTGAAAAATTAAAATTTTCCTTAATTTACTATGCACATTTTATCAGTTGTTAATATAGCATTTTTCTTTTTCAATTGAATATGCCTTTAAAATTACTGATTATTAACATCATACTATATATAGTTTTATCACAATTGTTGCTTTCTGGATAAGATCTTGATAAACATCTCCAAATACTATGCACATTATATTACACGTAGCATTTCCTAAATATTGAATATAGCTTATTCAATACTTGCTGTGCATATCATAAGATTTAAGATTATAAACGAATAATTTTTAACGGAGACCTTCGTATATTCTCGGATAGAAAACATAACGCAGTTAGTGTAGTGCTTGTCTCACATGCTAGTGTCAGTTCCTGATTAGGCTCTTCCTGAATCTAGTCTTTGGGTAAATTTCCTCAAGTTCAAACATTATCAGTGTGTGTGTATGCATGTATATCAGTGTATATGTAAAACAATGGGAAACTGTCAGAGTGTGATGGTTAACAAGTAAGACGTGAGTTAGTGTCGTGATCTCTTGAGGTCTTTTGCCAGATTAAGCGAACTTTAATAAATATTTATAAATGAAATTATCAAGATGCAAATTAAAAAACATTAAAAAAAATCCTGAATTCTTAAAACGCTGAAATTATTAAAAAGCAAAAATATTCTTTTTTTTTTTCACTTACTTGGACATGGTTGGGAAGTCAAGAAAACATTATCGACGGCGATGTCACTTGTGTATGTCGATCCTCGGACAGCAACTAACTTTACCTCATCAATTTCCTCGTTTATTTGCCTGCAGAAAAAATTCCACACGTTTCCTTGATTGCCTGACATTTGCCATACTTCTCTGCTTGACTGTCCAGAAGTGTAGAATAAATGCAGACTGCCCATACTTTGACCATACATGTGATAATTAAACTTCAGATATTTTCCTTTGGTGTTTTTAACTGGAAATTTGATGGATACGGCATCTCCCGCTTTACCAAAAGAGCTTTCAGCATACAGGTAGTAACCTGAAAAAGTGTGTGTGCATATATATATATAAACGTAACTGTGTCAAAGTATACATAAAATTACAGTTATCATAAAGTTTATCATAAAATAAGTATGTGTCTAAAAGATTTTTTGTGTTTGTGCTTACCTTGTATATGCTTTATGTTGATTCCGTGGTAAATTACATTTAATAAATTATATTTTATTTAATGCTTTTATTAATTTACACCTTATTAAATTAAATTTTAGCCTCTGATTATTTCAGCTGACTTTGATTAGTAAAAGTAATCGTTAATATTCAATGAATAGGTAAACTGAAACTTTAGAAAAATGAATAAATTATGAGTGAATACAATAGTTTTACAAACGTTAAACTATTGGATGACGTTCAGAATTAAATTTTGGCCAATTATTGGAAGTATGGTGATAAATAAAGTTTAAAAAATGATAACTATTTTATTAATATGGAAAAGCAGGTAGTTATATGAAAGACATCTATCGATCGTGATGAACTGAAACCTTTCTTTGCTGGCGACTTTTAAATTTCATCGACTTGTAAATTTCACTGATCCATAACTAAGGATATATACCAAACGGTTAATAAGTCGGTATATTTTTCATTTCTATTCTATCGACCTGTTAGTAACAAAATCTTTATTCTCATCTATATGCTTTAGCTACATGTTGATACTGAACTATCATAAGCCTTGCTTTAAGACATGCGTTAGTTGATTAAACAGAAAGCCTATCAATTGTGTTGGTTAAATTAGATTGCATGTGACTATTTTCTAACGAAAATAGTCATTATCGTCTCTCTCTATATTTTTGAGGATGTATTCGTGTATCCAGTGATGGCATTGCAAGAAATCGAGTTGCAGCCATCATAAATTTAAATATATCACAATATAAATATATATAACAATATACATAAATATTTAACGATATATATATATATATATATGTGTGTGTGTGTGTGTGTGTGTGTATGTGTGTGTGTGTTTGTAAAAAATATATAAATATTTTACGATTGCATGCATCCATCCTTTTATAGTAGCATATGATCTTGTCATTATCGCCTCTCGACTGCCAATTTTTGACCTCAAATAATTCAATCGAAATAATTTAGTCGAAACTAATGGAAACACAATTTGAAGCAATAAAAAACATCAAAAGTTACCTCTGCTATCCTTTGATGCATCTCTGCTTGGTCCAGTGCTGTAAGATGAAGTTGAACCGCGAATTCTTCTCCATGTATATTCCCGACGGGCCGTACAATTTATTTTATAGTGGCAAAGTTTTGGATTATCAAATGTACAAACAGAAGCGTCAATCCCAACTGGAATAACAAAGAAAATAAATTATGCACAAATATCTTGGTTCGAATTGAAAAAGAAATTAGAACATTTGAAGTTAATCTAAGAAATTGAGACGTAAATTGTTCTTTGTAAATATGGTGATTTTGAATTCGATTTAATTTCAAGCCAACAATCATTGATAAGTTTATTAGTTAACATATAAAAATGATCATGACTTAAAACATCGGTTAAAAGAAAGAATAAAAATAGTTGTGGTTATTGTTTAGTTCGGTCAGCGTAGAGATTTATACGTTCTCCCGAAGAAACGGAATATGACACAAAACCTTTTATATCCCTGTTACAAAAATCCCTGAAGAAATAATAATAATAATAATAATAATAATAATAATAATAATAATAATCTGTCATGTATGTATTGTTAAATTTACAATGAACCGAAAGCCAGTTGCAAAATTAAATTCCTGACATTTGTTTATTCTCCAGTGGAGACAGACGAAGTCTATTCCAATTAAAAGACAAAGAAGTAAAAAATACCATGTTTATATTGATAATTTATTTGATAAAGCAGATTCTGTGAAGGTGAGGTATATTAGAGTGATTGTTTAAATAAACAGGGGTGTAAGGTGTTAATAATTTGTATCATTATAAAGTTACATTCACAGATGTCAAGTCAGGGTAAGGTTGGGGTGTCTAAATTTAAAACGGAAGATGATTTCGCCTAGTCTGGTTTACGTGTCTATGGAGATTTATTTTATTTTTTTATTTTATTTTTTTCTAAAAGGGTTTTGTGTATATAAAAACTGCCGTAACATTTGTTTTTTGACGACTTCATAAAGGGTTATCTTTTTTTGTAGGGCATTTAAACTATTTATTAGGACTATGGATTTTAAAAATTATTTTATTGTTTGTTTGTTTTTATGCTAATTATTCAATGCAAAAATTTGATGATGTCGGCAAAAAACCGTTAACTCATGTCTATTGTTTAATAGATTTTTATTATTTAGAAACTTAATAATGTGTAGCTTTTCAGGTAGGCATAAAGGGCATGGGTCATCCCAAGTTTTACAAGTTCTAGTTTTGTTTGCAATTTTCCATTTTACTTTTGGTGTCCTATTCATTTCCTTCAAATGCCAAAAATATTTAGATAGAGATGTCTGATTTCTTTTATTTATATTGTTGAAAGAGCATTTATGCTGCCTCCATCTGGCTTTAAATTCATTCTTCGTAGACCCAATGTATATCATATTAGTATTAGGACTCTCAATGGATGAGATAGTACATTGGTATAGCACAGATTTAACGCAGCATTTATTTTCCAAGAACTCTTATGTATATATATATATATATATCTTTTCCAAGATATATATATATATATATATACAAAATTGTCAAATCGTGTGACGGCATGGGATAATTGTCCATCCCACAAAATGATTAATATAAAAAAAACACTAAACTAATTGTATTTCTTTTTTTCGGGTTTTCAGATAAGAACCATCAAGATAACAGTGAATAAGTTTAAAAAAGAGGGAACAGTAGAGAGGAAAACTGAATCAGGAGGTCACAAAGGAAGATAGATCATCATTTCAACTTAGAGCTAAAGAAGTCAATTAGAAAAGATCCAATTCAATTTATAACACGTTTGACATTCCAAGATGAAATCGTACACGAAACCTGTGAGGCACCAGGGCAGAAAGTTAGAAGGTTAGAGCGAAGGACGATCATCTTGAATAAATTGGAAAATGTTCCAGGAAGAATATATATATATATATATATATATATATATATATATATATATATATATATATGTATTTCAACTTTATTACAATACTTCAAGAACTTCCGATCCTTAGCTACGATTAATTAATGAACATGTCATTTTCGTTTATGATCGATTTCATCACGATACTTCTGTTAAGCTTAGAGAGTATTTATACATTTTTATTGGTCAAATTAGAGTCCAATGGTGTTATAAAAACCTCGGAGAAGTCAAGCAAGATATCTTTAATCATTTCTAAGATACAACGGTTCAAAGCTCAATCTGACAAATGGGCAATTTTTCTTTTACAAGATTTGGATAATTTTGCTTTTACACCCGGTACACACACACACACACTCACACACACACACACACACATATATATATATATATATATATATATATATATATATATATATATATATTGATGTTAAAAGATGAGAGAAATATGTATATATATATAAATATTGATGTTAAAAGATGAGAGAAATGTGTTATAGGTGTTTAATTTTTTTTATTTTAATTTCCCAAGTACTTTCGATCTTTTCTCAAGATCATTTTCAGGGGTGCAAATGGTACAAAACTATATATTGTTCATTAGTATATGTATTTATACAAAGATTTCCGTTATATTCATTACCGTAAATTTTTCATTATGCTTTTAAAATAAATGCAAAACGGTTGACAATGTGCCGAGCGTTCATTAGAACGTGAAAAATTATCCATTATGGACATTTTCCTTCAATTTTATAACATCATGGTCACGCCCGTATTAAATCATGAAAATACATAGTTTTATCATCCTCCTAATCTCACTCCAATATTAACAATCACCGGTTTGTAACTTTTAATACATTTTTTCTCAACATTTGTTTATTTTATTATCATGTTATTATTTGAACGTTTGTTTAAAGTAGCCATATTTTATTAGTATTTTTCATGTTTGTATCTCTCTATGTAGAATCCTTTCATCACGTGTTCACTGTCTTCACACACTGTTGCAAAATGTAACCTTTCTTGTAATTTCCTTTCCGAGAGTTTACTGCAACATTGGAATGTGTTCTTGTAGCAAACTTTATACATATTCATGTAAGCAAAGTGTTCGCTGCATTTCTTCAGCCATTTAGTTCAAGCCTTCGACTACTTTTGTCATATTCTGTGTTACCGTTTTGTTTATGTGTTATTCAGACTAAATTAGTCTTATATGTGTATTGCTTTATTTATTTTATTTTTATTAACCTGTCGATGAACAGGACTTCGTCTTCAGAGTCTTAATTTCCGTAAGGTGTTTATCTAGCTATCTTGAGGCACACGGATGCGTATTCTCGGGGAAATGGAACACACACACACACATACGCACACACCACACACACAAACACACACACAAACATACAAACATACACACACACACACACACACACACACACACACACACACACATATATATATATATATATATATATATATATATATATAATTAATGTGTGTAAAAGGTTATCACTTAGCTGATTGATGCTACATTCAGCTTCCCGACTCCAGAGTTTCGTAGGCGGACTTGTCCGTCCACTCTTCAGTGGGTATCAGCAATATATATATATGGCTCATTCCATATTAACTCAACCAAAATTTTGAGGTTTCATAGTCACCATCTCAGATTATGATGAAAATTTACGATGTGATGCCCACTCTAGAAAAACAAAAAGCTTGAATAGAGAAACTTCTTTTGGCCCATAGTTCTAGAGTCATGGCTAGTGGATATTCGGTTGGATTTTTGTGTCATATATTTGCCGAATTCAACACTTTCTAACTCTGCATCCTGGGGAGATAGCTTGTGAAATTTGGTTCCCCTATACTGATACATGGAAGTGAGATAATTTCCTAAGGTATATCGGTTTCTGTTGCAATTTTACTAAGTTAGGGGTGAATAGCAAGAAAGATTATAGATGAAACTATAATTGGACAAAATTTGAATACTTTCAAAACTGTTAAAAACGTTCCAAATTCGAAATTTTACAATGGTGATGCAAAATAAACACATACTTTTTTATATAAAAAAATTGGCCCAATAAGAGACTCCAGAATCAGTTAAAGTAGAGGTTTAATGTTAAAATGTTTATGATGTACGAGGTGTATGATATGCATGAAAGAGGTGTGATAAGAAGTGAAGATTATGATGATAAGTTAGAGAGAGGATTTCATATTATATATAATCGTAAACTGTCATTCTTGAGAGAGAAATATTTTTATATAAGCAAAAGTCTAAAATAAACTTACTTTCACAAGATCCGTTCGAGAGTTTAATGTCATCAAGAGCAAGGTGAATTCCGCTTGATGTTCCAGTAATACCAGTGAATACAATTCTTTTCTCAGTCGCGTTACCATCTTGTTTTAGTTCTGGGTATAAATTCATGCAGCCATAGTTCCATTTTGTTCCATGATCTCCATTGTCATGCCACTCGTTTTTATCCCAGGAACTGAGAGGAGTGGACTTGTCTTTATATGACACGTACAACTCACCCGGCATGGTGCCCGACATGTAGTAAAAGAACTCAATTTTCATTTTATAACTTGCTTTGATAGGCTGTGATACGAGGTAGCTTTTCATTCCTTCTTTAGCGTAGCGGACTAACATTGCTGCATATTTTCCTGCAAAGAATTGTTGAAAACAAAGAACCAAATAATTGCAATATTAAGGGAAGGGAAATTGTAGTTAGTAAAATAAATAAAACAAAAAATAGTGTTAAGTAGGTGGTTATCGAGGAAACAAATTCTTCCAAATTTTGATTCACTTGAAATTTTTCATAATAAATTTGACACATGAACAAGATAGCGGATTTCATATTCATTACAAATTTTCGGCAATCTTTGTTCTGAAAAAGTAACAAAAATCTGGTCAATGGTCAGGAATTTACACAAGTGTTTCTGGCAGATAATTTGATTTCACACGTTTGTTTTCCAAAGCTATTAGATATTCGGGTGTTATACCGAGTAATTTCATTTCATGACAACATTCAAAACAATAGGGTATTACTTCGCGACGTTCATATTCTCTCTTTAGCAATTATCAATTTGACGAGGACATCTTTAGTATCGGAATTTTCAATTGGACAATTTCATTTTCAGTATAGTAATTATTAATTTGGCTAGAACATCTTTTGTATCGTAATTATTAAACTGTCGATGTCATCTTTAATGTTATAATATTTAACTGGCTGGGGTTAATTCTGCTTCGTCATTATTAATTGCACAAGGTCATCTTTAGTGCCATAATTATAACGACGTCATTTTCTGTCTCATGATACTAAACTGAATGAGATGTATTTTAGTATCATAGATATTAATTGGACGGTCATTTTTATATCGTCATGATTAAGTAGACGAGGTCATATTTTCTATTGTAAGTATTAATTGAAGTAGGTCATCTTTTTATCGTAATTATTAAATAGAGGTCATATTAAATATCTTACTTATCAATTCAATGAGATCATTTTTAGCGTATTATTTAATCGTGCGTGTTCATCATTAATATTGTAATTATTAATTAAAAGAGTTCAACCTCTGTTTCGTAAATATTAATTAAACGTTATCATTAGTAGTGTAGTAATTATTAGTTAGATGACGACATCTTTAATATAGTCATTATCAATTTGACGAGGACATCTTTAGTATCATAAATTTTAATTGGATAAGGTTATCCTTAGTAACATACCAGTAGGTGTTTCTTTAGAAAGATGAATCGCAAAAAACTAAGAGATCAGCGTATATATATATATATATATATATATATATATATATATATATATATATATATATATATATATATATATATATATGATAGACTCTTATCGTGAATGATAAATAAGGGTTAGCATTGGATGTTGTCTTTCGTTTTACACTTATGCATGCTAGCAGATGCTATTGTGGAGAAAATCAGGTAAAAGAAAGAAATGTTTCATTTGTGCTTACTTCAGTGTGATACTAGCCCAGATTTGCCTCGGGTGACGAAGCTACACTGACAAATGAAATTTGTTAAACCAGGATTTTGATGGTGTCTCTGCTTCAGAGCTTGACGAAGCTGATCACGGTGCTTCAGTCTACTGTCTTCAAAACCTTTTAACTTTATGAAACATGCCTTACGCCACTCCTTTTGGTTTGATGCTTGGGCTTCCCAGGTTTTCAGATCACAGTTGAGATGCTTCAAGTTGTCTTTCAGTTAGTCTTTGTAGAGTAAGAGTAGACGTCCAATTGAACACTTGAAGTTTGGTAATCCATACAACACTTTTTTGAAAGCCTATACCCATCCATTCTCACAGCATGTCTAGACTACCTAAGTAGCATCTTTGCAAGAATGGTTTCAATGCCCGTGACGTTGTTACATTTCTTCAGTATTGTATTATTCTTGACCCTGTCATCCCATTTTATATCACATATGGCATGAGGACAGCGCATTTGAAAGGCGTCAAGATGATATATGTGGTTGCGGTACAGGGTCCAATTTTCAGCACTATAGAGAAGGGTTGAGAGAACAATTGATCTGTATATGTTGATCTTTATTCTGAGAGACACGTCTTTGGTGTTCCATAACCTATGTTTAAGAATATATATATATATATATATATATATATATATATATATATATATGTGTGTGTGTGTGTGTGTATGTGTGTGTATTTCTGTGTGTGTCTATATATATATATAAATATATATATATATATATATATATATATATATATATATATATATATATATATATATATATATATATATATATATTCGAGAGAGTGAAAGAATATATGAAGTAAACTTTACTGTTTGTAGCATTTACTTTTTTAAAAAAAATGCTTAATACAAAGTAGACTAAAATATAATTATTATTTTTTTATTTTAGATGCGAATTTAACATGTTTTTGCTCTGATCTCTAAAATGAAATAAATAATAATAAATATATATATATATATATATATATATATATATATATATATATATATATATATATATATTCAAACGATTCAAACAGTAGACGAAGTAAAATTCACTGTTTGTACCATTTACTTTTTTAAAAAAAGTGTTTAATAGAATGTAGACCGTGTGGCCTGACGAGTATGTTTAGCATGAAACAGCCTGTCACCTCTAAGTGTTGATTTCAATGTTCACTTGAATATATATATATATATATATATATATATATATATATATATATATATATATATATATACATGATGGACTCTCCCATCGAGTTCGATGTATGAGTTCTGACGTCCACGGACTAATTATCTGCATGCCTATGGCGGGCATGACTTTTGAGACCGGCACGAAAATTGCACAAAAGACCACAAAAAGTAGAGAAGTATATATTGTATCCAAGTGCAGCAGGAACATTGTTAGCTGTCTTATTTTACTTTCGTGTTTCAAGTGATGCTTACTTCTTGATGGTGCATTATACCTGAATGACAGCTAGAACGATACTCTGATCTCTTCATAGCTACTTTTTAAAGTTCTTGAATGGAATGTCGACACAAGAATGGTTGCTTTTCAATTTATCTTTATACCTGAGCCAAGGTCTATTAACATTTCTGTGACCATTATGAAGTTCACTGCAAAAAAGAACTTTTGGTATGCGATCATCAATCATACTTGCCAACATAGTTCTGTTTGCATCATGAAGGTATCATTGCTACCAATCTTGCATTTCTAAAAAGGCCCGGCATTGGACACTCGATCATCAAACGTTAGACCATAGATAGTACGGAGATAACCTTTATGGAAGACATCTAATCGTTTAATGTGCCATCTATAAGGTGTCCAAGTTTCAGAGCCATACAAAAGAGTTGACAAAACGACAGCTTTGAACACTTGTATTTTAGTGCAAAGCTTTATTCCCCTTTCGTCCCACAATGTATGACACAGCAAACCAAAGGAATCGCTGGCTTTTACAATGCGATTAACAATCTCGTCATCAAGTAATGTACTTGAATTTACCATGCTCCTGAGGTATTTGAGACTCCACATACTTGAGATCTTTTCCATCAAATTGTAAAAAGGCCTCAGGAAATTTACGAACAAGGCTTCTCTGCTTTACACCTCTAATTTGCTTCGGTGTCGAACAACTTCAGTTTTCATGATGCTGATGGACAGTCCTAATGCCTTGCATTCTGCAGAAAACCGGTTGAATACATCTTGGGATTCCTCTAAAGAGTTAGCTACAGGGGCAGCAAAATGTAGATCGCGTATAATACTGGTACGTAGAAATGTTTTGGACTAAAACCACTGGAGGTTAAACAGTTTTCCATTAGTTCGAAAATGAAGTTTAACGCCAGTTTTTGTATCCCGAAAAGCATATCCCAGCATCACCGAGAACAATCGTACAAACAAAACAGGCGCCATGACACAGCCTTGCTTAGTTCCGTTAGTGACATTAAATGTAAATGGGTCAGAACGCTATCATATATATATATATATATATATATATATATATATATATATATATATATATATAGAAAAAATATGACAAATTGTAAAAAGATTTTGTGACGCATTTCATCCGTTGGTATTTCAAAGCCCAGTCCGATGAAATCCCAACGGATGACACAAACGCGTCACAAAAAACCTTTCCAGTTTGTCATATTTTTATAAATACTGTTTGTTAATATAAAATGTTATACAAAATTATATATCTTTTATATATATATATATATATATATATATATATATATATATATATATATATATATATATATATATGCAAAAAAAATATTTATATATATAATTATTTATATACATGATATATGTTCATTTATATATATATTCATATATATATATATATATATATATATGAATAATTATATATGTATATATGCATGAATATATACATATATATGAATATATATATATGAATATATATATGAATATATATGTCTAAAAATATGAATATATGTGTATATATATATGCATATATATATGAATATATCTATATGCATATATATACATATGAATATATATATATATATATATATATATATATATATATATATATATATATATATATATATATATATATATATATATAGGCATGTCTGATTAAATAAATTATAAAATAAAAAGATTTTGCTGCCTAAATAGACAAATTTTATATATATCTGGAATGGGAAAGAAACAGTCTCCTTTTGAAATAAATCTAATTATTAAGGACATGTGTCATTGATTCTCAGTTTTCTTGAAATTTAAATAAAGTATTTTTAAATATAATATATATAATCATTACCATCACGGGTGTTGTTTGTATGGTCATAAATCGGTGCTCTGTAACTAGAACCGGAAATAATTGACCAAGTAACACTTGAGCCATTTCCTTGCACTGCTTCATATCCACATAGTCCATTTTGAAATGTGCAGCTCACTGTTTCATAATCTGTACATCGAGAGAAAATATGAGAATAAAATCAAACATAATGGCATCATTATTAAGTATTGCAAAATTTCTCGGTGCCTTTATTTTTGGAAAACTATTGACAATAGAAAAACAAAGTTTTAAGGAAAAGAAAAAAAACTCTGCAAGCTTTTACACAATCTTAATAGAATGCATTTACTTATAGAAATTACCGAGTGTTTTATGATGTTTCACATGCAGATATTTCTACTACTGTTTTTATAATACAAAATGCAACACATGCGATCAGATGTGTTTAGAGATAAAGCCATTCAGTCAGTTGATTCATCGTATATATCTATTAAATTGTAAATAATTATAAAAACTCAAAAAGTTTTTTGACAGTAAAACCAAAATAATACTGTTTAAAGTGGTGTTAGCATTATCATTTAAAACAGGTGAATTGATGACAAAAATTATATAGAAGATATATGACCCGACTCATTATTGAGATAATTACAGATTTTTTCCAATAGTTAGCATAGATTAATGTTCAAGACCAAGAAAAACCATCATTTTCATTTCAGATTTTCGAACTTTGAGCCAAGTTAAAACTGGGATTTTCCAGTCGGGACTTTCTATGTACTTAGATTTTCGATGTTCGAGCCCAGGTAAAAGCCGTTTTTTTAAAACATTGATCTTGAAAGCGGACAGGCTTAAGATGTTTGCCTCTATTTATTTATATTATAAATTTTAAGATTCACTGACTCAAAATGAAGGTGTCATGTAAAGCATTGTTACTTATTCATATAGACCTGATCTATATATCTATATATAAAACAATAAGCTCTTTTCATACACCTATTTATAAGATTTAAAAATACTTGTTGGTTCGTCACTTATATAATAACGTATGTACTCTCTCTCTCTCTCTCTCTATTTTTTGAATTTGTAGGTCTGATGAATTGGATCGTGATTACGATTCCAATGTAATAAATTATAACCATGGAATATTAGTGTTCGAGCCTTTTATATATATATATATATATATATATATATATATATATTAGTAGCACAATATTTTTATAAATATTGTAAAATTATAAAATTCAATTATAATACTATCGCATATATGCAGTTCTTAAGGAGTTGTTGATGGTCTTTTAGGCTTCCTCCATGTGAATAGGAGCTCACTTTTTGAATAATAAGAATTATGTCACGATGGTGGAGGACATCAGAATTTTAAAGATTCTTAAGTAGGGCATGGCCAGGGAAAGAACGGGAACCACTGGTTTAGACACTATCGTTAAATACCATGCCATATTTTCTTTTGATAATCTTTTCTGGGATTTCTTCCATTAGTTGTGCGATCTTTCGTGTATCAGGTTCCAGTTGGTAAAAGAGGAACGTTAAATTCGCTTTCACCGTTGATCGTCAACAAGAGGAGATATTTTCTTTACTTTTTGTGTGTTAATTTTTCAGCTTTTATTAAATTGGGTGCGAATAATTGTTGTTTCAGAAATTGTTGTTTCTTATTGGAGGTTAGTAGGTATTAGTAATTGGTTGTTTAGTTATTAAATATGTTTAGTATGTTCGTACCGGTGTTAAATTCTATTTTGTTTATGGATGGTTTTTTAGTTTAATTTGCTTCGAGAATCTGTAGGCGTAGTTTACTATTATTTTGTACATAACTTTAGTATTGTTGCATAGTAATTTCCGTATTTCAGCGGATGCAAGTTTGTTAGTATTATTGTTGTGTGCTGTTGTTATATGCTGTTTTATGAAACCACATTTTATGAGATTGTATGTAAGACGACGGGAGAGGTTTGTAGTTGTATGACCGATGTAGGTACTGGCGGTTCTTGAATATTGTTCGGGATACACTCAGAAAATGAGCATGTAAATATTTATACAACATATCTCTAATATAGAAAGGATTTAGGGGAATTTGTATTATTTTAACAATGAGATTGATTGTTTTAAATTTTGTGTAGTAAATGATTAGCTTAATTTGTTAGTAGTGTTCAATGGATTTAATATATCAGTGTATAATGTTGGCTACGACTTGTTCATTTAATTTACGATTTTTGTGTATTTGATTCTTGTTTTTTTCTATTTTTCTTCTTTTTGTTAATAGAATAAGATAGAGTTTTATTTGGTGGTCGACAAGTTTGTCAGGGAAGTTATAGTTTATTAGGATTTGTTTGATGTCAGTAAGTAAAATATGCTTCTTATTGAGGAGTTGTAATAGGCTCTATTGATTAGGTTTTTGATCAGGATTATTTTATATTTTTGAGGAATACCCTATGGTAGTTTAGCAGACAATAGTTGTGTCTAGTTGCTTCTTTTGTATAGAGATATTGTAAATTTATTTTTGCTATTGGAATCATTAAGCATGTCTCGAAATGGGATTATTGGTTGATGTTACGTTCAGTGGTGAAATTTGATATTGAATTTTCTTTTAGGGTTTGTTTTAGTTTATCTTATTGTGGAATTGTGTAGGAAGGTAAGATCGTCGTATCTGAAGTTGGTTGCTGGTTTGGTTATTTGCTTGTTGAACATTGTATTTTCGATATGGGATATGTGATGTTCGGAAAATTTGAGATCAAGTGAAAAACCCATCGAAACACTATCGGTTTTCATGTACATTTTACTTTGGGTGGTAGAACGGAATTTGTGTAGTTCAGGTTTGGCGTAGTTTTTCTAGAATTATTACTTTTATGGCAGGAGCGAGGTTAAAGAATGTCTATAATCGTGATCATTTCCTGAATGGGGATGTTGGTAAAAAGGTTTTCAGACTCGTTATGCAGTTATTAGGGTGGGGAGAGTATAATTTGTATGAAGTCATGAGTTGATTAAATGCTGTATTTGTGTGGTGTATTTGGTTGAATAATATTGTTTAAGTTTTTTGCTATGTGGTATACTGGTGAAAAGATCTGTGAGATTATAGGTTTGAGGGAGCATCCAAGTTTGCGTATTTTCATTTTTACAAAGATTTAGCCTGATTTGTAGTCGCCATTTTAGTTTGAAACAACAATTTTCGCACCCAACGTAATAAAAGATGACAATTTGACACACAAAAGTAAAAAATATCTCCCACCCCGAGGACGATCAACAATGATCGAAATCGCTTGGAAATCGACACGACACATGTCGAAACAATATATATATATATATATATATATATATATATATATATATATATATATATTCATATCTGTTTAACAATTTAGTTTATATCTGTCTGCTCAAATCTATCTATATATTTATCTATCTTTCAAGACAATTGTCTCTTTTCATTATTATTTTTGATCGATCATCATGAATAAAATTCTCTTTAGATTCGTTTTCTGGTTCATTTATAACTTTATCTGATTATCTTTCACTCGCACTCAATTCTTCTTTTTGTTTCACTCACCAAAATTTAGATGGATCAGATTAAAATCTAAACCTGAACTTACATTTGCATGTATGTTGAGATAATACGACATCATCTATTGCAATATCTCCCCGATAACTTGATCCTCTAATTCCTTCAAATACAAGTTGTTGAAATCTGTAAAAATATAAAAAATATATATATATATATATATATATACTATGGGTAGTAAATTAAGTCAAATCTTCAACCGTAATACCCTCAAAATCAGTTATAGAAATCTAGACAAAATTATTAAATTACACAATATACTGAAACTTTATAAGGACAATAAATGCAAGCCAAATACAAATTCTAGTATACCCCAGGTAACCGAACTATTTAATTGTAGAATTTCCGATCAATGTCCATTATCAGACAAGTGCCTAATGAAATCTATTATATATATGCGTACCATCTCATTAACTGAAAACCTCAATAATACTAAATTGTATGTTGGCTCCGCTAGGAATGCTTTTAACGATCGATATTATAACCACATATTCTCTTTTAGTAATGCAACAAACGCAATATGTCTTCACTTTCTAAATAAATTTTGGAAACTGAAGGAAGAAAACAAAACATCTAAGGTTAAATGGAAAATCCTCAAACAAGCCAGAAATTGCAGATCTCTGAACGAACCTTGTGTTTTATGTCTGCAGGAAAAAAAAAATGTATTATTGAGCTTTTAAATAACAGTAAGTTATTAAACCAAAGATTTGAAAGTAACATTTTTTATAGGCACATTAAAGAACTAACATTGCAATCTTGATAAACTTTTAAATTTATAACTCACTAACTCCTTATATACTTTTCTACTGATCTATTTTAGATTATGATTCTAAATTGTTTCTGCACATATATAATACTAGCAACAGTATCAGATAAATCGATTTATATTCATACTTATTCTACAAGTTATACAGTTCGGCAATGGGTCCAAATTCACTTATAAAAAATTTATATTAACATTCCATACTTTATATGTCTTTTTACTTATATCTTAAATTCTGAACTAAAATTTATTGTAACACCCCAAATAACTTATGTATTTAACATACCAACAATTTTTCCACTTAAATGACCATTTATTGATTTACATACTACGTTTATTCCAGAACAAATAACAGAAACTTCAGTATAAATCTGCGTAATTCAGTTCTTGTTTTAAGATCCCGACTCCACATCGGTAAAAATAAGCGTCTTCAATTACTACTATGGCCTTCGCCTATATTTATTTCTCCTTTCTCCTTCATCGTTTCCTCTTTTCTATTTCCACCTTTCCCTCTCTCTCTCTTTTTTTCTTGGGAGTTTTGGTGTACTTTGCTTATATTTCTGACCGTTGCACGATATCAAAACTGTAGCGGACAGTTCCGCTTTGTTTTCAACTTTTCGGGTCAGGCCCTTGTCTCAGAATTCCTTCACCACCCAAACTCCTATCAATCAACTACTATTATCTTACTCTGTTACCCTCTTTCCTTTCCTTCTCTTTTCTCCCTTTTCTTTACCATTCTCCGTTTCCTCTTAAGGTGTTTATCCCTATGTTTTTTTTCAATAAGCGGCTTGCTTGTAAACAGAATTTTTCATAACCATTTTTGTTTATCACCAGTCGAGATGCAACCGCATCGAAACAAGAATGCATCTTTGTAGTGGGGAAGTTGTTTTTGTCCGTATATAAAATTATAATAAATAAAAAATTATATATATATATATATATATATATATATATATATATATATTCATTAATAATCATAATGTGACTAATAATATAGGACCATCTTTTCTAACGTAAAAATTAATCAGTAAACATTGAAAAACAGAATTTCGGAATGTCATTAAAAGTGAATCTGTTTAAAGCTAACGAAATCACGATTTCGCATTCCAAAGTTCCAGTAAAATCAAATCTTTGAGGCTTTCTTCGATACTTTCGATGAGATACAAGTGAATAAAGCAAATGGGGACAAATAAGCCATGAAAATATAATAATGTCTTCCATAACATCTGCAATGAATTAAAATTTCCTCATCTTTCTGTATTGTAATGCTGCAGAAGACATGATTTGTTGAATAATTTTCGGATTCGTCAAGGAAATGGATTCTATTATTAATGAGTGTAGCGCAGAGATTTTAAAAAATTCTTTAATGTCTTTTTTAATCTTATTTTATCGAACATACAGTCACCTATCACTTTATTAAATATAATATTCTCGTACCAGATTAGGCTGCCTTCTGCCTTTAGAACCAATATTTCACAATTTTGATTTGTGATACTGTGCGTTGTCATGCAGGTAGGAGCCACCAGCAAATAGGTGCATCAGAGGCATAAACTCAAGTACGTGGTTATAACAAATAAATATATATATATATATATATATATATATATATATATATATATATATATATATATAATTATTATTAGGTTAATGATATAGGTTACTCAACTTGGTTGATACGGAGATGGGTCCATTTATCTGATAATAATGAGTATGACCCAAATTTAGGCGCAAAATGGAATTTTGGAGCCAAAACTGAGAGGTCGCGAAGACCACGAACTGAATAGATGTGTTTTTAACCTACACGAAAAGCAGGCGATGCTGGCCACGAACAAACATAAATAATGCAAGGTCAAACTGCAATCGGAAGGAGAATATGAGCAGCATCAGATAAGTGTTTCAATTAATTTCAAACAGATACATGTAATTGTATTTCGTCCCCGATGCCATGACTTTAACTGATAAAGGAATAGGTTTTAGCAATTCTCTTTTCTTATTCTCGTTATATAATGTATTTCTTATATGAAGTATGCCATTTAAACTGTTCATTTGTCACGTCTTTGTTCATCTGACACGACTCAATTTGGGGATTCGCAAAATTTCTCACATTTTGCTAAAACGTATTTTCAAATAAGCAATTTTGCAAAACATAGACGGAATTTCGCTAAACAAATAAGCATTTTGCTCTTTACCACTCTAGCTTTCTCTTTTTCTCTCTCTCCCTCTCTCTCTCTCTCTCTCTCTATATATATATATATATATATATATATATATATACAGTACTGTTCGATAAAAAGTGACTCACCTAATTTCTTTTACTAAATGTTCTTCTCCGATGAAACTAAAGTTGAGCTAAATTCAAAGGATAAGCGATCTAAAATCCGAAGAAGAAGCTTTGAAAGCTCTTTGAATTTAGCAGTAAGTACTGTCAAGCATCCGTTCAGTATAATGTTCTGGGGATGCTTTTCTTTTCATGGAACTGGTTTCTTGAAACCTATTGAAAAGACCCTCAGGAGCGAGCAGTACAAGAGAATATTAGAGTCTTATCTGCTTCCTTCTGCTGAAAGGGTGCCAATCGACCCTACCAAGCTCATTTTTATGCAGGATAATGCTCCCTGTAACAAATCAAAATTGGTGAAGGAATACTTTGATGAGAAGCAGGTGGGCGCCCCAATCTCCTGACCTCAACCCCATAGAAAACTTATGGAGCATTATAAAGTACAGGCTCTCGAGAAAGCAGTTGAGCAACATACTCCAAATTGGTAAAAGTGATTAGTAATACATATAACAAAATGAAATATGACACCAACAACCACTTTTTAGTTCAAGCTACCATCGCTATCACTACATTTATGGGTTTATCATTCTCCCACCACCATTACTAATCACTTCTACCAATTTACAATAACTATTAGCTAATTATATTATCATTGTCCCAATCCCTTGCAACATTACTATCATATCATATAGACCTAATATAATTATTAACATAATCTACCCTCTCACCCAGCATATTAAATATTAAATATCACCATATAAAATAAGCAATAAGGATTACAAATTTCTACCTGTTACATATACACGGTCATCAAAATCAAACAAATAACCAGCTTTAAATATAACAAATAAACCCCCTTTTTTTCAAAATTTAAAAATAAATATAAATAATAAATATTTTTACCTATCATAATTTTACAAAAACCCCACCACACGTATACACATACATGCGAAGAAATATCATTCAGCGGAAAAATAAAAATATGACATGTATACATTCACGAGACATTCACGAAATTTTCGCTACAATCCCAATCTTTGAATTTCAACATACAAATGCGTATTTATAGACACAACACAACCCGTATACATACATATATCTTATCCGAAACTGCCCACATATGTTTATATATGTATGAATCCCGACGGACGACAAAGTATGTATATGTGTCTGCGTACTCCATTAGATGTATGAACATGCATCGATGTTTGCGTCAGTACGATGACACAACGAGGACATTTCCCCCACCACTTCCATAATAACACCAATACACGCAATCTACATAAACCCAAAATTTTTTAAAAAATTAATCAGTTTGTCTGACGATCGCTAAAGCGTCAAACCCAGGATCACAAACTCACATCTATCCAACCAAATACATATATATATATATATATATATATATATATATAAATTTACAACAGACACTTTGTTCATTAAATATTAGCTCTGTTCTTCACATTGAGCTCTCAGGATTTCATCCTCCTTGGAATTACCTATTCGGTTTACCAAATTCTTCATAACTTAACTTATATATATATATATATATATATATATATATATATATATATATATATATATATATTGTGTGTGTGTGTGTGTGTGTAATCATTTTCAGAAAACACCTACACACTCACTCACACACAACACACACACACACACACACGTGTGTGTATGAGTGTGTGTGCAGTTGTTTCCTGAAACTGATTATGTTGTGCCAGAAAGGATAGAAAACAAATGGAAGTTAAATATTTGAGTATTCGTTTATTTATTACAAAGTATATTTATTTGTCTCGCCAATCGAGCAAAGCGGTATTGGTTTAAAGACGCTTTATTCTGCTAATGAGGACGCAGGTTCGAATCCTGTCAGAGGGGCATCTTTTCTTTAATAAGATTTCTCGAATATTCAGGCTGGTAGTCACAAATAAATAAATATCCAGTTTAATAAATAAATTGAGCGTCTACTCAAATAAGGCTATCCATTAAAATAACGTTTAAGTGATGAAATCTGTCAGTTTAAAAAAATCTGTTACTTCTTTAGAAAGAAAAATTTGTGTGAGCGTATTTAATTAATTAATTTTAGTTCTAAATTCGAAAAAGAAGTGAAAATCAAACTTACGTCGATTTAATTGGAATGCAAGCGAATTTCCAGACATTGCCTTTGTTACCAGATTTTGACCAAACTTTTTTCTCATAATTATTCGTAACTGTTATGACATTGAGAGTTCCAATATTAACACCAAACATGTGGTACCAGAATTGTATAGTTAAAGGCGAGTAGACTGATACGCTGCTGTTCAGACGCGTCTTAGCTCCATAATATCCAGTTGACGCCTCCGTGTACATATAGTATCCTAAAAATTGATTGATATATATACATAAAAATATGTTTTGTCAAATTCAACAGCAAATGTCTTAACATATTAGCAAACGTGAATAAAAATTAAAGATTTTTTATTTATTGTCATTATTTGATCAGATATCAATATTAAAGAATCAGACATCGCCAGGAAAACGCAAAATTTAATGAAATGGGATGCTGTTTAGGATATTTATGCATAAATAACTTGTACGTTTAAACATGACCACATTGAAACTTATTCATTGGTGCAAATTCCGCTAGTGTTTATATATATATATATATATATATATTAAAGACATTTTTTATGTTTAACGTTGTTATTTTATTAAAACAAAAATGTCTTTAATAAATAAATTGTCGGACCATGTCCATTTCTTAATATATATATATATATATATATATATATATATATATATATATATGATAATACTCGTTTGGAAAACCTCGGATAACTCAATTTGTAGTAGAACAAATCGGTACTCGAGGAAAAACAACAGCAACAGTGCAGGCAGAGGAGGGGACTTCAAAGGAACCGGAAATCGTCCAACGCCGAGTCTCCTCCTAAAGAGATACCTCAAACAAAGAAGCAATCTCCGCCGCAAGAAGCGGCGGGAGGTGCAGCAACCAAGAAAGGTGCAGAAAAGGCGTGAGCACCAAAAATCCCCGTAACAACAACAACCACTACAGCAACAACAAGAACAACAGAGGAAGAAGCAGCAGCAGTAGCAACAAATAGACACACCCATGGACACACCCATAGACACACCCACCTCAGGCATCTTCATTGAAAAGAACCAGGAAAGGGGAGGAAGAGAAACCAACGCAAAGACACTCTGGCCGTTGTAGGGCGGAAAGGGTCATGAACAAAACCGGGTCGGTCTCCGTCCCTGTTTCGCCAAGAGAAGCCGAAGAATCTACAAGCAAATCAGGAGTCTCTCTGGTTCTCCTACCCGTTTTCCTTCCCCTTCCCCTCCAATTCTTCCCTTAGCTCTATATTTACACCCCTCCTCACCCCTCAAGGGAGAAGAAGAAAAAGAAAATTTTTCCCGGACCTGAAGAAATATGTAAGGTGGACAAGAACGAGGCAAAAAAAGTGCATGTTCAAACAAAAAAGGGTCCTTTTAGGGCTTTTGCTAAAAAAGGACAGCATCGACGGCAAGTCAGTGGAGGATCCCTGGAATTTCTCACACGCCCCAGGAGTTATTACCTGTTTGAGGGATACCGGTGGATACCTCAAGGTATGGAGCCACCTCTACGAGGCGAAGGAGGCATACCCTAAAATAAGGGTTTTCGAATTGGACAATGCCAACTTGAAAAGACTGAGACATTTCTGTTATGGGAGGGTCCCTGTGTTGCTCCATCCCTCCTTATATAGGGCAGTCAAGTTAACCTACCCCACGGACGTCGGCGGCATTATCCCGGATAACGACGGAGTTGGGAACAGGGAGCCTGGGACAATCCGTCGGGGTCCTATCCACCGCAGATTTCCGGCCCGTATGTGAGTAGGTTTTTTGCTCTTACTCTTATTTATTTTTTGCAGGCTTAGATGATGTCAATTAAGATAGCCAGTCTGAATGTGAAGGGCTTGAGGCATCGAGGTAAGGCAGCCCGCCTGCTCCGGGATCTCTTGTCCTTCGGCGTGGATGTCACCGCGATCGAAGAGCCCACTTTGCAGCGTCGATTCGTGTGTGCTATCAAACAACATTGCCGTTTATTCAGCACATGGGAACCGACATGCCAGAAGAGTTTCTTTGCTGGTTAGTCGTACTCTTGATGCATACCGATGCATAGCAATGCCGAGGGCCGGTTGATCGTAGCCGATATTCCCATGAAAAGTGGTTCGTTCCGAGTTGTTGCGGTTTATGCGCCCAACGACCGGGAGGAACGGGTCTCGTTTTTTCGGCAGTTGGTGGCGTTCCTGGTGGATTCAACGCGCCTAGTTTTATTAGGGAACTGGAATGCCATCCTGGACCCAAATTAGTTAGGGGGCAGACAGCTAGCGGGAGAAGGGGCGATCGTAGCCTGATTGATCTGCTCAAAGAGTTTGGTCTCGTTGATAGATACCGGGTCGATAACCCCGGGGGTGGGGAATGTGGGCGTGGGCTCTTAATTGGCCTTTTACTCAGGTAGTTAGCTACCTGGATAGAATGTTAGTTAGAGGAGCCGACGTAGACTTGTTAGATTGTTCCACGTTCCACTGGGTGGCGTTAGATCATAGGCCTAGAATGGCTGGGTACTGGAAGTTCAATCTGTCTTTACTGTACAGGCAGGACTTCCAGAAGCAGCTAATTAGCTTAGTGCAGCGGAAGCTAGTCGGGGCAGTTATCGGGAATAGTTGGTGGGAGGAGACTTAAGGATAAGATTAGGTCCTTCACCACTGATTTCAGCAAACAGCTCGCCCTCGATAGAACTGAAAAGCTGAAGATGCTTAAGGCTAGTTTTTCCTGAGCGGTGGCTGGGGGGGATCCCCAAGAGATAGCCTTAGCTAGACTAGTGAGCACTACATGGACCAGGTAATTAGACATAGGTTAAGCAAGATGGGCGCAGACTTGCCGAAGGAAGAGATCCGTCGAGGTTCCGATCGTTACATTCGTGAAGTCAACACCCCGGAGGAGCACACACTTCGGGCCACTAACGATATGTGCGGGGCGTTTCTGCGGCATTTCGAGAGCCGCTTTACTAAGGAGCCTGGTCTTCGTGAGGACGAGTTTCGCAGCTATTTGGCTGACTTTCCTCGAATTTCATCGACTGAAGCGGCTGGCTGCGAGAGTGAGTTTACGGAGAGCGAAGTCTACGCGGCATTGAAGAAGGTCGACAGAGGCAAGTCGCCCGTTCTGGATGGTTTGCCCTATGAATTGTACTTGAGGCTGTCGCACATCTTTGACTGTCGTGTTCAACAACTGGTTCCAGCAGCGGACCATCCCCGACCGGTTCTCCAGGGGTGTGATCACGCTGTTGAAAAAGGGCAAGGATGTTGGCGGGAAACTAGATGATTACAGGCCCATAACTCTGCTAAATACAGAGTTAAGGATTTGATCCAAGATCCTGCAGGAGCGTTTGCAGTCAGTTGTCGAGTCTCTGTTGGGCCCTGAGGAGACTTGCGCTGTTAGGGGCCGAATAATTCAGAGCAACCTGCATCTGATCTGCACGATCATAGAGGGTGTAAAAGACGACGAGCAAGCCGCGCTGATCGATTTAGATCAGTTTAAGGCATTTGATAGGGTTGACCATCGCTACCTTGCGGCTGTCCTGCAAGCCGCCGGATTCGCACCGGACTTCTACCACTGGATTAGCCTCCTGTATCGCTCGCCCAGTGCTGTGGTACAGGTGAACGGGAAGTTATCGGGCGCTTTTGCACTGTCTAAGTTGGTTCGTCAAGGTTTTCCACTGTCGCCCCTACTTTATGCTTTGGCGTTGGAGCCTCTCCTTCGCCGACTGAGAGACAGGGCGTGCAGGCCGGCCCTACGTGGAATCGCCATTCCTGAAGGAGCTCGAACCAGGGTTTCCGCTTACGCCGATGACATATCGTGCTTTCGTGTCGTCCTGCAGCGACATTGTGGTGATACTAAAGGCGTTTGGTCGGTATGAAAAGGTGACAGGGGCCAAGATTAACCGCGACAATTCGTCCGGCTTGCGGTAAGATGCCTGGAAAGGGGTCGATCTTCCGGCGCCCTTCGGTTGGACGAACGGCCCTGTCCGCTTTATTGGAGTGTGGTTTGGACTCGACCTCCAGCTGGAGAAAATTTGGTCTGAAGAACGAACAAAGGCCGACGCGGCCGGTCACACTTGGCGTTGACGGAGGTTGTCCGTGAAGGGTAGGCCACTTACGTTTTCCATCTTTCCTTTATCGATTGTCCGTACTTCCTCTTTGTAAAGACCATAGGAAGCCGCTCGCTATCTTCTATTTTATGGAGGGGACGCCAGCATTAGGTCGACAGAGAAGTCTGTGCACAACGTCTGTGTCATGGGGTGCTGGGAATGCCACACTTGGTGAGCCACAAACTCGCCTCGAGGTTGGCTTTCCTACGCCGCGCATTGACGGGAGATTTGATTATGGCGGGTATTGTTAGGGACGCGTTCCTTTTCCTTACTATCAGTTCCCACATCTCGCAGGTTGAGCGCCATCGTAAACCCCGGGATCAATCGGATTTCCTTCGCGAGTGTCGGTTGGCCTTGTTGGCTGTTCCTCGGTCCAGTGACCTTTCTCAGCCTAGGAAGGTCTTCTATCGTTATCTAGTGGAGTGGGTCGCGTAGGATACTCTACGTGAGCGGCTCGACTTGTCGGGGGAGGAGTTGCGCTCTTTTTGGGCTTGGGTGCCAGCGGCGGATTATCTCAGTAACCCTGAGTTTTCGCTTACCTGGCGATTGGCTCGGATTCGACTGCCTCTCAATGACAAGGCCTTCACTGAGATTCGTCACTATATGATTCGCATCGGCTTCCTAAACCGAATCGGATGAGTAGGGCGCCTTCTGGAAAGAAGACGCCTGTAAGAACTTCCCATCCCTGAGAAGTGTGCACGCGAGCGAGGAGGAACCCTATCGTTTACCCCGAGCCGAATGCTCCTTCTATCGCGAATGTCGTCGTGCTCTGAAACGCCCAGGCGTTGTCTTGTAGGGAATAATATCAAGTATTAGTCAGTGGGTACGTTCGTGATGAGGTGATTGATGAGATCAATCTTACAAAGCAGGAGGCTCGCTCGTTATGGCCTTGGGCGCCTGGGTTGAAATGCGGCAATTACATTGAGGCATCACTCACCTGGCTGATGATTCGTGGGGCCCTCTGGTTTGCCAAAAGACTTTGTTCAGCGGGCTTCGAGAAATCTCTAAACTGTCAACGTTGTGATGAGGAAGTCGAGACCATTGGTCACGCCTTCTTTCATTGCAGGGTGGTAGCGCCGTTATGCAAGTCTGTTGAAGGCCTAATGGTCCGCATGCTGCAAGGAAAGTTCTTTGTCCTTGAGGCGAGTTCTGTTTGTAGCAATATGGTACCGC